TCAGATACTCCCTCTACTCTGGTAATGGACGCTATACGTCCTGGAGAGCTTCTCTCTCGATATGGCCTCCTCGTAGCTATATCTAGCTTTTAGTATTACCTTTTAGATCGGCCTACACTAGAACGGCGAGGCCCCGGTGAACGCGTCTCTCTAGCGTAGGATATGGTAGTCACTAGTGGTAAGTACCCCATCGCGTCTACCCTATTGCGTCTATAATATTATTTTGTCGATCAGGCACTGACTATTGACCTCTTACACATCTAGGCCTAGGATTACCGTATTTAGGGGCGCGCATAGCCGGCCTTATACTATTAAGCTCTACGATAGCGACGTTTCCATACCCTCCGAGTCCGACTTCGGGGCATTATTAGGCCTAGCGATACCCGGCGTCTATATAGTTAGCGACGTATTCCTAGATAGCTTAATGCACCGGTAGGATAGATATTGAGATTAAGTGTACGGCCTAGCTGAGGATCACTATTCGCACTAACTACGAGAATAGACATCCTGGTCTAATTAAGAGGCCCTGTACGAAAAGGCACCCGTAGAGTGACACGACTAACTATATTATGAGGGTTTAGAAAGAGTTCTATAACTAGCTAGCTAACTTAGTAATAAGGAGGATAAATCTAAGGAGAGAGAAGAAAGGAATAGCTATCCTTCCTTTCTCCTTATATCCTTTAATACGCTATAAGGAGGTAACTAGTATCCTTACCTCCTTACTCCTTCCTTACGTACTTATTCTAGTCCCTTACCTTCTCCTATATATTTATTCTAACTTCTTACCTTCCCTTATATATAATATCTTAGCTATTAGGGTTCTATATCCCTTATACTATATACGCCTTTAGTTAATTAGGAGGTAGTATTTCGCCTATACATTATATAGGTAAATCTTAACTAATTAGGAGGCAGTATTTCCTAGCGTTAGTCTTAGCGCTAGTTCGCCAGAACCGAGCCTTCTCCTAGGTTCAACCTATCACACCTTCCCTTACGTATAGTGTCTTAGCTATTAGGACTTTATATCCCTTACACCGTATGTATCTTAACTAATTAGGAGGTAGTATTTCGCCTATATATTATATAGATAAATCTTGACTAATTAGGAGATAGTATTTCCTAGCGTTAGTCTTAGCGCTAGTTCGCTAGAACTAAGCCTTCTCCTAGGTTTAACCCATTATATCACCCCCCCCTCCTTCTATACTTACTTAGGAAGCCTCGTATATATCTAGCGCGGTGGAGTCTTATAGCGCGTCGGCCAGTTCCTACGTTAGTTTAGCGTATCTAGTCTATTTCACTAGGTATTACTTCTAGGATCCTCTTCCTCTTTATATAACCTTATCTTCTAGGATCGCCTCTACCTTATATTCTTTATTATCTCTAACTATTACCGGCGTAGGCTAGTTATTATCTATTCTCTATAAGTTAAGAGGGTCTATTAAGACTATATAAAGAAGGTCTAAGTAGAAAACATTATAAATACTTAGTAGAGTATTTAGGCGATAACTATAAGATCTTACTACCTCCGTAATAGTATACTTCGTATTCTTCTAGTCTAGTTTCTTACTAGTACGCGTTATTTATACGTTTCTTAAGTTAAGTTATATCTTATTACTAACTTAGAATTACAGTATCTATTATTATATTTAATTTATTCTCTCTTCCTATTCCTACTACGTAATAGTTATTAAAGACTACGCTTATTCTCTCGTCTCTTAGAGTTATCGTATAATAAAGTCTACTTATTATATAGATCCTTAAGGAGTCTTTATTATATAGGGAGGTTCTTATATTTAAAGTAGCTTAACGTAATACCTATATAGTAGAAAGAATAGAGTTACTCCTATAGAGTATACGTCGTAATTATTAATTACTAATTCTACTATAGATAGGAGTTCTATCTAGTCATCCTATTTTCTATTTATAAACGTATAAAGGTACGTTTTAACTATTTAGTTTATTCACTTAGTAGATCTATCTATGAGGGTTTGGAAAGAGTTCTATAACTAGCTAGCTAACCTAGTAATAAGGAGGATAAATCTGAGGAGAGAGAAGGAAGGAATAGCTATCCTTCCTTTCTCCTTATATCCTCTAACGCGCCGTCAGGAGGTAACTATTATCCTCACCTCCTTACTCCTTCTCTTACGTACTTATTCTAGCTCCTTACCTTCCCTTACGTACTTATTCTAACTCCTTACCTTCCCTTACGTACAGTGTCTTAGTTATTAGGACTTTATATCCCTTATACTATATATATCTTAACTAATTAGGAGGTAGTATTTCGCCTATACATTATATAGGTAAATCTTAACTAATTAGGAGGTAGTATTTCCTGGCGTTGGTCTTGGCGCTGGTTTGCCAGAACTAAGCCTTCTCCTGGGTTTAACCCATCACATTAATCTTGAGTTGACATTTCCTACGTAAATTTAGCGGCGTTGATAAAGACCTCGTTACCCTTACCATAAATGAAAGCCTAAGCTACGAGATTAATAATGTAACCTAGGTAGCGTAATCGGCGAGATCCCTCCTCTTTACTTAGATAAAAACGCCTAACTAACGCTTTATAGGTAATGTAGTAATTAGTAGCGTTATCAGCCACATATACACCTAGTTTTTCCTGTAGTTCGAACTCTGCGATTACCTCTGCGATTACCTCTACGATTCGCTCTCCAGTATACGATCCCTCTATTAATCGAAGCCCTAGAAGAGCCTATCGTAGTTTAAGACGATTATCAAGAAAATGTCCATAAATTCTAAGTATTAGTTATGCTAAAGGCGAGGTCCAGATATCGAAGCTTATATAAACGGACGATCGACTGTTCTATAATAGGAACTTCACCTATGCCTTTCCTTTATCGAACTCGTCGCTAACCTAGGCGCTAATAGTTACGTATGATTTAACGAGGTACCTTTCAAGCGCTGGTTAAAGGTATAGCAATAATTCCCGAAATTCAGTGTGTTCCATAGCTGAATAAGGGATCTATTACTTTATAATCCATCGAATGAGTAAGTTCCTGAATCGATCGATATTATACCTGGTCACTAACGACCTGAATACCGTCGCCGCTTATTACGCTACTAGCGTCTCAGTTAGTTACGGAGTAACTAGATCTTGACTAGTAATACTGGTCTCGTCGTCCTAGTTATCCGATTGCGCGCGTTTACTAACGATTCCGTAGTCTAGCCGTAGGTAGCGATTAACGTTCGACGAGGCGCCGTGTTTAGTAGTTAAGATAACAGCGTTATAGAGATCGTAAATCCACGACTTAGAACTTACGTCCCGTTCACTATCGAGGTATTCCGCGCCATATTACTAGATGTAAGACGATGGCGTTCTACGGCGCTAATTAGGCGGATGAGGCATAAAAGACTATGTCTTTATACTAATCCGCCTATTATCTATACGCCGCGATGGTGTGGAACTGCTCGATGAGCGAACACCGTTCGATATCGATGGCGAGGGCGATTTAATACTGGGTTGTATAAAATCCGACATTTTCATACATAATTTACTAATAAAACTGTCGGCCTAGGTACCAAACGATATTTTGTGGGTTGTGCTAAAGTGCTAAGCCTGACTGCAGTCATGACTGCAGTCCCTGGCGAGGTCAACTATACGGCCTAGCCGAGGATCACTATCTGCACTAACTGCGAGAATAGACATCCCGGTCTGATCGACACCCTAAACATATACAGGACCACGACTCACTCTAACTACGTGAAGATCACGGATAGAGCTGAGAGAGGGCACGATCGCGAGCAGGCCTGAGTCCGTGAATAAGCTCGCTGTAGCCATAACCGGCACCACTAACACCGGCGTGACCGTCCCGACGAGCACCAATAACACGAATAAGAACAAGAATATGGGGCGTCGATAGCGTCACGATCGAGGGCTCTAATATCGGCGCGAGAGCATCCGAGCCCGGCTAGATGCCGGAGAATAAGGATCTCATTATCGCGCACGACGGTCATGCCACAGCGTGGCCAAGTTACAGTGAGTGGGCGCAAGACGGGCATATTAACGTACGGGGAGCAGTAGATAAGGCGGGTAAAAGGATCAGTTTCAAAACGCGACCACGACCAGGCCCATATTGACGAACATGTCCAGCTATGCGACTATGAAGTTGTCAATACTAGTCACGTGTGCCAAGACCACGTGACACATTCCAATACTAGTCACGTGTGCCAAGCCTAATCACGTGCGTTAATACCACGTGACTCGCTACAGTACTAGTCACGTGTGCCAAGCCTCATCACGTGTGTTGGGATCACGTGACTGTCACAAACCCCGCTTTCTCCAAGCCGAGGCACCGAGGACCACCACCCCCACTTGGTTCACTTCAATACACACATATGAATTGAAAAGTCCAACATATTCGCAAAATTGCTTGTCCTCCATACAGACACTTTGGCGGAGTGGTTAACGGTCAGTATTCGCTGGTCTCACCATTTCATCAAGTGTGTGCTAATATGATGCAGCGGTGCCCTGCTATAACTAGACGAGGCATTTCCTTCGGGGTATGTGGGAAGAACTCCCACTTGCAGAGAAAAAACTAACTGTTCTCCCAGAGCAAGAGTTCGAATCTCTTAGGTGTCGATTTTTTGTCTTTTTTTTGTGGGATGTTAGTCACGTGTGCCAAGACCAGTCACGTGTGCCAAGACCAGTCACGTGTGCCAAGATTAGTCACGTGTGCCAAGATTAGTCACGTGTGCTAGGACCACGTGACACACTACATTGCTTGTCACGTGTGCCCAGACTGGCCACGTGTGTCAAGACCACGTGACACGCCAGCAAACCACTGCCTCCCCGCGTCCCTGGCAAACCTCTGGCTGGGTGTATAACTCAGTTACCCCCACCACTTTCGGACCACCACAATGTTGTCTTTCTCTCTCTCTCTTTAGCATAGTCTCTTAGTTCTTTGAGCTATCCATGCCCATTCAGGAGATCTCTCCTCTTCCAAATGTGCCATGCCGTCCCAGGGGTCATACCATCCGATAATATGTCTCAACAGGAGCGGAGCTACACCATTTTGGGTTCATTGCGTCTTCCTCATCCATCCGATAGCAATCTTACCAAAGAGCACAAGAATTTGGCCCTTTCGCTTCAGAAAGATCTCCAGATGCTCCAAAATCGCGATTTAAGAGGTATTTACAACATTCTGTCTTGCGATTCGAAATTCTAAAACAGATATAGAGCTCAACAGACCATTACAATCCTTGAATACCGCATATGATCGATTCAAACTCAAGGAGCTTGACAGCTGGAGATCAGTAGGCCAGAGACCTAGACCTCAAGAGACACTAGTTAGACCGTCTGGATTATTGGACGCCCCTCTAGCGCACCACCTTCATCAACCATCCCTTCGCACGTTATCCCCGCTGGATGACAGTGAAACAGCGGACCCAACTAACGGCTGTATTGCCATGGTAATGGGCAATCTTTACACCTCAGAGACCCTAGTATTTGATCATCTCCATCGTCGTTCTGAGAGTTCCGAGGGTCTTAGGACTCTCCCAGAACCTGTTCTGAATTGTCATGAGACGTACACGAGGGACATCTGTGAGTCAATGCTAGCAAAGGTGGAGTTTCTGCATGGCCGCAAAGTTCATAACAGAATCTTGAAAATGCCGGGCAATGCCAACAAATTCACTGCTCTCCCACTCTGGGGTCCTTTCGATGGTGTCACTCTATTTCTGGCACATGAGTCAAACTACCGCAACGCCGACTTAGGACACAAATTTCGAAGAATCTGCCTGTTCGTGTTACATCCACAGGTATTCTTCTACGAGCGAAAGGGATCTGGAATAGGTGAATTACAGGATCGAATTCATATCGCAGCTGCGAGAATGACCGATATGCCCGTCCGAGAGTTCTATTTTCGTGAAAAACAATGGAAAAAACTGTCCATTAACACATTTCGCGCCATGGTGACCAAGGAATTGGCCTCTTTTCTGAAACAGCACTCCGAATCTGGGGTCGATGCCGTACAGGTGGTCAAAACCAAACACAAAGCCGAAGGAATAGACCATCGAGTCAGTGAAGCGTCGCAAGGCTCCGTGTATCCAAGCAAACCCTCAAAGCGCAAGAGGTCAACAGGGGAAGACTTCTCAGATTCGGCAGTATCTCAGAAGGCTCGGAGTATTGCTACACTGGCAAAAGGGAAGAAGAAAACAGCTGTACCTAGGAAGAATCCTCGGCAAGGAAGGAACAGAACTGCAAGGGCTCGAGCAATTCAACGATTTCAGGATCTGATATCGGTGGCCAATCCTGCTGTTGAGCTGCCATTTACTCTAAATTCAACATCCGTGCTTGAAGAGGCTGGCCGTGAGGGGCTTTCGATTAATAGTGATATGATCCTGTCCAGTTCAGCCCCAAAAGACAACGCTGTGACAGAGTCAAAGGAAGGACAATGGATGGCCCAGAGAGGAGGGAACAGCAATCTTATCCAAATAAAAGCGAAGGAACTTCTAACAGATGATATCCCGCGGACAGGATCGAATTTGAAGGCTCCAACAAAGACTGTCAAGGCGAAAACTATTGACTCTGAAACGGAGACTAAAACTTCCAGTCTCCTCGATCTCAGACCTCATGACAAGCACGAGCCAATAACTTCTCCAGTGTCCTCGAAGGAAGTTGCCGTCGATGAGCGTACGGCTCAAGGAGATTTCCTACTTCATCCGTCTCAATTAAGACCACAAGCCGAGGAAGAATATTCCATTCGAGACCTCAATTTTGTCAACGTTGACGACATGGATTGTAAGACAAGACACGACAGGCTCAGAACCCTGAATTTGATCGTCTCTCGAGGGGACCGATTGACTGAAATTGAGGAGTCGCAGTTGGCTGAACTGAAGGCCAAGGGGACGCGGGTCCATGGGCGAGATCTGTCGAAAATGGGCGTTGCAAGCATGGATAATGTGACAAGGAAGACCCGGCGCTGTGTGCTACGAAAGAAGATCGATCGACATGACGTTCTGAACGAGGCAGAAATGAAGCAATTGACTGATTTTGGAATGCTACTCAGCTAAGTAGGCCCTAAAGTTGTAGAATCTTCTTTGCCGGCTGCTAGGATCGAGATGGGTATGGTTTTCCTTCTTTTAAGACTTCAGTCATTAGGTTCCCTCTCCCTGGCGGCCTGGCCCTCTCCCCTCTCCATCGGCTCCCCTACCTTAAGTACAAAATAGCGTCCCTTTCACCCTTTCTAAACACTCACCTCGATCGGAGAGTGCTATACCCACGGAATAAGGTACGGTGAGGCGTTTGATGTGCAGACGAAGTTCGAGCTCAACGAGATATGTTTTCGCATTGGCTGCGGCACAGATTGTGGTTGGTTGGGTTGTCCTCCATCTAGGTTCGGAAACATTCTTGAGGTGGACTGTGGCTGGATTTACTTGTGTTGAGATATTGTAGTACGTCAAAGATTGGATTATCTTGCATGCTCATTATTTGGTTTGGGTACAACGTATCAGAAGAGTCCAGGTAGGCTGCTTTTGCTTCGAATCAAAGCAAGGAGATCGATTAATTGCAGCCTCCTCAAATCGGCCCCCAGTTTCCAGCCGATCATCATGGGTCATTCTATCCGCTCGAACGACGCCCAAATCCCACAAGACGCGTGCGTCTCTTTTTCTTGATCAATAGGTAGAATTGCCGCCAGCAGTATTATCCTATTCCGTTATGCCGCCTCGGATCTTCCATACTTGAAGACCCAGAGGTTGAGAACGTCGAAGAGAACCGCAGTATCCGCATCTGAGAAATGCAGTCGCTGCAAATCTGGATTCTCTGGGTTCATCAACCGAGCAATGCGACCGAGTTTGTAAGATCCCAGTCCTGGGAGTACTGTTAGATGCGGCACGATAAAATTGAGTCAGTTTGTTGACTTACCTGGTAAGCAGAGCATCAAATCTTGCAGAACTGTCCAGCATCTTTCAGGAGGCGGAAGGATCGATTCGGGTGACATTCCAGCTTGTTTAATGAGAAGCTCCATGCAACCTCGGTCAAAGTAGCCTCTGGAATATTCTATCCAGAGTATGTTACGGTTCAAGCCTGCAGCAATCAGGATGTCAACTATCTCCTTTGGCGTTTTCGCGTTGTGAGGGAGTTTGTTCTCCGTAGGCCCTCGATGTCTTATAAGCCCTAGCTTCCCTGGACAGGTATACCCTGCGCGCCGAACTTCAGCCTCGAACATGGTGTTAGTGACCCCTTCATTGTTGATAACGCAGTTCACAATGATTTTACCATTTCCATCACGAACAGTAAGCTCGAGGAGATATTGGGGCAGATTTCTTCGCTCCTGGCGGTACACCGTTTCAAAATCGACAATGAAAATACGCCAGGGAAGTGTCAACTTGAAGTGTCTGTACTCCTCTGCTCTAGGGGGGATCCTTAGAGGCTCTTGTTGCATCATCATTTCAAAGGAGGCGTGGTTGTTGATGAATTGACCAATACCAACTCGAATCTTCGGCTCCAGGCCAGACTTGTCTCCAAAACAGTATGGCAGCGGCAGACTCGCTAAAGGCCGTGAGATCAACGACATAACGTGGATACAATAGTCACACGTCGGTGCCACTGTATATCGTAGCAATCTCGGGGCAAAGATCAACATGGCTGTCTCCAGATTCAAAGGAATAGAGTCCACACAAGAGAAGTGGCGATCATGATACCAAAATCCGGAACAAGTCATCGTCTGACCCTGAAAAACGACATCTTCGCGGCCACCTAGGAACTCGTAATTCTGTGATTTTCGACTGGATCGGCGCTCCGCGTCTAGGTACGCCGAGCTGCGTCCAGCATAGGTGTTCCAGTATTCGTCATCCGAGGGGAGCCTCCCTTCAGGCACGCGAACTGTACTCAATAAACCTGAGTCCCGGATTCGAGTTGGAAGCTGAGGGCTATTTCGACCTCGATTGAAATGGGTCTCAAAGTGCCGACGGAGAGTAGCGTGGTTCAGATGGCCTCTGCTTGCGAGATGGTCGCGTAAATACGCTTGGCTACAGTGTTGATGGCCGCATTGGAGAGGGCTGCCAATATGGCACTGCATTCTGTGACGTTCCAGAAGCTCAGGTTCCCGATACATGGCATACTCACAACCCTTCTCAGGGCATCCCCACATGCACTCTAGATGAGATTTCAAGAAATGGAGGCGAATGAGCGGAGGATGGCTTGTCATATACTCACAATCTGGCCAAGGGCACTGGTGAGTATACCTGCGCGACCGGTAGTCTCTTGCTTGATCTCTTGCTTGATCAACTTTGTTAGATTGATCTTTTCCTGCCGGCGTTTCAATCCTCTCTGCCACTACTCCGTCCGGCCACCGAAGATGTCTGAGGAGTGCACCCGATTTAGCTCCGGAAGAAGAGCTCAGGCCATGATAATCCAAGAGGTATTCCAGGGCATTTTTTTCGAGCATATCCACGGTGCCCGTGGATGTTTGAACCCGATAGAATACCTGATTCACGTGCTGATCTCCCTCGCAGGGGTTGGGTTGAAGGCAAGTGACCGCTTCTTCCTTGCTTTGCTGGGTTAGAGGATTTTTCAATTTCCCAATGAGACTGGTGAGCAGGATCTCAATCTTAGGCACTCGTCGTCCAGCTGCATTGCTATACTGCGAGCCCATATGAACCGTCGTGATGTGTGAGTCAAACGCAGCACGATCGTTAAAGACTTTTTCCTTTCCGGTAGAACAACTGACATCGCCACAATACCACTTGGTGAGACGTATTGTGCCGTGTGCCTGTAGGTGCATATCGATACCAACTACATGCTTAAACGTGGCTCCGCAATGAGGGACCTTACATTCCCAGCGGTTGTTTCTGAACATCGCGAAGACCACGTTGTCGAGGTTGGGAGAAAGCTTCACATAGCTTGGCAGCCTCTGGCTAACACGATACGTGCAAGACCCAACAAGCTTCGTTTCATGCTTTCCAAAGACGTCCGCGACATGCTTGACCGTCGACCCATCGATGCAACTCAAAATTTTTCTTCGCAGACTCGTTTCCGCAATATTCAAGAGATTAGCACGCATTGTTGATGTCTTGTAGGTCGAAACGAGGCTGATGTCTTGTTCTTTGAAGTTCCAATCCATTGATCCTCTTGACGCTTCTTTGACGACGGTATCTTGAACATCACCATCTCCATCTTCATCACCATCTCCATCTTCATCACCACTGTCTTCATCTGCATCGAATATCTTTTCATGTTGTTCATGATCGCTTTCCTCTTGCTCGGCAAGAGTGGCAAAGTACTTCCAATCTTCCAGTGAGTCGCTACTGGCAATAGCATCGAGATCATCGAACATTGAAACATGATTCAAATCGACGATGATGGGATGGTGATCACGAATGTGTCGTCGGATGGCAGCGTTTGCATAGGAGACCAGGGCACCGCAATCTCGGCAGGGCTTTCTAGGAGGCTCGACATATTCCCGTCTCTTTTGATGAGGTTCATGGTTCTCTTGTGCTTGGAGGGGATCGATGTAGATTTGCTCTTCAGGAGTTATATAGGAATGCAGTGCCTTGGAAGGTTCAAGATGGTTCGAACGCCCGGGATGTTCATAACTCTTGGGAGAAATGAACTGCGTCGGAGTTTCTGAATGGTCAGACTGGTTCTGAGTAGCTAGGAGGTCGAACTGTCCGGCGGACTGCACGGATGTGAGTAGATATTCAGGTTGATTGTCATGCTGCTCCGATGTGCTAACGCTGTCCGCATGATGACGAGTCCAGTAGGAATTCAATGCCACTCCTCTCACAGCTGGGTTTGTTTCTATGAGTCGGCGTCGATAGCTGTGTGCTAAGGCACGGGTGGTAGGGCGTACAAATGCAGCTTGCCTCGGATGTTCTTGGGCGATGTGAGAGCGGATGACTTGCTCTGCTTGACTGGATGTATCATAAAGACCGCAGAAATCGCATCCAAAGCCACTAGTGAGACCGTGTATCTCCTGGATATGCCGGGGAAGATTGGGGAACGAGACTAGCTTCCAGCAATCAGTCCATCTGCAAGGGACCTCCATGACTGTATCGTCGGTGTACCCTGAAAAATAAAAGAGTGGATGGTTTCAGTAGGAGATTGTTCTAAAGAATGAAATAGTGGAAACGCTGACTTTGTCGGTTGGATTGATTGCTGATCCAGTACTGCCCAAACGCAAGAAGTGAAGCAAGATAAACACTTTTGGGCTGGTGACTAACACATGATGATGCTTGTTGGGATCGGAGCGGAGCGGAGCGAAGAGGAGAACAAAGGAAAGAGGCCACAATGGCCTGAGAGTCGTATTGACTCAATTGCCTTGATGGCGTGTGTGCTGCGTTGGGCTATCTCTGAGGTATCTAAGAAGGAGAGGGGGAAGAGCTACGTCAAGTGCAGTAGAAGTAGGTGGGTAGCCTATCCCAAGGTGTAAGGCGTGCCGGAGGTCATGTGACCCCAACAAAACTCCCTAATCAAAGTGCCGACAGAGAGCTTCACCAACTCCCATGTTCCTCTGACTAGAACAATGAAGTGGTATTGTATTTACTGTTCGCAATGCGCCTTCGAATACTTCCATACCTTTTAGAGACTTCGATAATGGTTCTAGTGTCACGAACAGCTTCTCTCAAGCGCCTTACCTTACCCCCAAGAAACGAGAGGATGAGGCAGGGCAGGTTAATCAGGTGGGGTACACAAGGCACTCTGAACTTTTCTTTGTTCTCGACGCAGACCCCACCCACTCACTGTGCTGTGTTGTGCTGTGCTTTGTTTTGTTATGTTTTGTTTTCTCGCTCGCTCGCCCGCCCGCCTTTTCAAGTCATCGACGGGTGGACGAGATATTGTTTAAGCGAGGTCGTGCCACCCACTCGCCGCATATCTTGCACCAACTTGATTGCGTAGTTGTCAGGATTCGTAGCCACTTGAGTTTTGTCAGAGAAAAACTTGGGCCGTTTGCACCCCGTGGTGTATGCTCATTTGCTCACTCGCTCACTTGCACGCTTCCCAACCTCCAAACTTGTAATAATTACTGCAATCCTGGCCTGGTTGGCGGCCTCTTCTGTCCTGCTAGATCCCAACGTCTTATCCCTCTTGGACTCCTTTAGCCGAAGCTGGCAGCGTTGGCGCCCTCTTCTGCTCAGCCTGGTCAGCCTGGTCTGCCTGCTCACTCTGGTCTTCGCTGCTCACTCTACTTTGCCCTGCTCGCCCTGGCCTGCCCTGGAAGTGCCCTGCGCTACGCTGTTCTGCTTTGCCCTGCTCAGCCCGACGGTTCCGCATAGAACCGCGGCGCAGTCAATGCATATCGTTTCTGTAAATGGAGACCCCGAGTTCGCTGGCTGGCTGCCTCCTGAGCAAGTCGAGTCCACCACCTGACAAATCTGCAAATGGCAATCAACAACGCGACTGAGCGCTTCACGTAGCAGTTGTTGCGTCAGGGCTGGGGTCTTTGCGATTCGTCATTCTCGCCAAGTGACACGGGCGTTTTGTAGGAGGGCGCCAGTGGCGCACCGGCCGGTCAGGCAGTCCTCATCTCACAGCCACTGCGCGATAAACCATCTGACTTGATCGCACAGGTTAATTGTTTGTCAGAAGCAATGTTCAACTTCACGCTCAAGACGGCCAAGGCCCGTGACGGATATCTCAGGCAAACTGGTAAGCCCGTCGGGCAGCTACACGGCCTATCGGTCTCCACCAAGGACTGCTTTAACGTTGTCGACAAGCCTGTGGAGCGCAACGCCGCGGTGGCCGACATCCTTCTGAATGGCGACGTAGTGCTGTATGTCAAGACCAATGTGCCGGCGGCCATGATGATGCTCGCGACGGTGAACACCGTGACGGGGCGGACGCTGAATCCGTTGGATCGTGGGCTGGCAGCTCCAGGGCCACTTGATTGCTCTGACGGCTCGTATATCGCGGACGCTATGCACAACATGTCTTCGAGTCTGAATGCCTCGACTCAAAGGACAAGTATTCGGGAATGTGCACCCACTCAGAACGTTTGCAAGTCGTCAAGTCGTCAAGTCGTTTGAAAAACCTCACTTGCTTTCTTGAACGTCGTGCACATGCTTCGTGAGAACATCCATCCTGTCCATGCAAGCGCTCTACTGACCATGACGGCTGCAGTCGTTCAGTTCCACCAATCCTGTGACAAGTGCGAGGCTGCCGCTCGAACTTCGAAGATCTCGGACACAATCCATCATCAGGCATGCTCCGCTTGCCTACAGACTAAGCAGGATGCAGAGTCCAATTGCGCCTGCACCCAGAAAAGAGTCTTGCTAGTCAGGGGGCGATGGTAAATTGATAATGGGAGCTTCTTAGAGGTAGAATCCCTTTGGGCGGAAAGGTAATAATCTACCTACCTGCGCCAATTATCAGTGCGTTCGAGCCTGCTTTGAACTGGTGAACATCACATCGAGCGCATGCCAGCCTCCAGACAGAGATTCAATCAATGCTGCCACCTCGAACGAGACGTGGTCCGGAAATCGATCGATGCACGTTCTTCTCTGAAGCGGAGACGAGATTGACTGCCTCCTTTTGGCCAAGCTTGAAAGCGCGGACGCAGACACGGACGCCAACCTCAGATATCGTCCCCGAGAACTCATGTCTTAAAATGTCGATGGCACGTCAGCTTCAATCCCAGTTGAAGGCTACTGAGATCTATATCGACCGAGATCCCTTTCCTCACCTAGATTACTGGTCCTCCAAGAGGCCCGACGGCAGAATTTCAAGAAACATCGACGGGCCAGAATGATACAGATGCAGATCTAAGCAACCAGCCAGTTGTCCCGTGATCCTTCTAATATTGCCGCATATTGCCGCAGCCGTTGCCAAAAGGAGGGTATTTGACATACCCGGACTACAGATTCCACTCCGAGCACACCGACTCTTGACATGGCCAGGCTGACACTGAGGCGCTTCCACTATGTCAGCCGGTATATCCTCAGCACCACGTATTCAAACGGCCCACAGCGCCGTGTTTGATCTACAATTCGAAAGGATCCTAACTTGTTTCTGGTGGTGTCTTACCTGGGACGTCTCCGTGTTGGCAGCCGAATCCCCAGACACTACCAGAGCCAGTTTGCGTGGCTAAAGGTTTCCATTTCTCGATGCATAAACCCCGTGCGGGCTGGCCGAAGAGCTTTGTCTACGTTCGATGGGACTTCCGCACTTTTTTTTGTGATTGTCTGAAAGGAGAGGACGACAGAGACAACAACAATGCTCTTACCCCTTATTGGCCTCAGTCACGATCCTCGTGGCCATTGTCGCCATTGCTGCCGTTTCTTGACGGACATGCACAGTCCCTATTGAGTGTAGGGAAAGAAGCTGCTGTCGACTGCATCGTCCTGAGGTTATCTACAGTACACGTTTCACAAGTAAACCCCGTGTCTCATGCAATGATTCTTTAGCGGGAAGGGTAGGTGTGAATGAACCTATATGGTGACGATGGCTGTCGAAGTCAAATCAAGACAGTGTCGACAGATGTGCCGCGAGATATCGGACCTATTATTTACATCCTGGGGCTCAACCACCACCTCGTGGAGGGTATTGCCATGTACGAGCCCTCCCGGGGGTTTCCTCCTGGTAGGAGCTCACTCATCTCCCTTGTCCTTGCTTACGATATGAAGCTCATGAGTACCCTCGTCTAAGATATCCTGCTGGTACACTGCAACGTGGTCGGCATCCTATATTTCAGCATTTGAGTCAGCATGGACAAAACTCATCGGAGTGGACACCAGCAACTGACTCCAAATATTGCTCCTATCTCCTCCAGTGCAAGGTGCCTGGTATTCGGAAAGAAGAAGAACACGATGATCATCGCAAGGCCGCTGATGATGATGAAGGGCAGATAGTATTGCCAGCCGACCGTCCTGGTTGTCCACGGGTGTTAGCAAAGAGACAGCGTAGGTAGAAGACCGTGAAAACTTACGCGAACGCGGTTGGTGCGGCCCCAAGCCATGCAGTATTTGCCAGTGCGTGGGTGACCATGGCAATCAGATATCCATTGGACCGCAACGGGGTCGGGAACGCTTCGCCGATCCAGACGAAGAGCATCCCGTCCAGGCATGAGCCATAGAACCAGGCGTAGATGAAGAACATAGCAACTCCGGCCTCCAGCCCTGCTCGATTATCGGATCCGGTCGCTGCGATGTTCTTGATGATTGCAGCCTCAGCCACGAGGGTGGCAAAACACCCAGCGAGTCCGGTGGCGGCGTACCCGGGCCTGGGAAAGCGATCAATCAGGAATGGCGCGCAGATGTTCGCGAACCAGGTGACGCTCATCCAAATGCCATTGAAGAGAAGCTGTTTGGCCGATCCGTAACCCAGAGAGGAGTATAGCAGCGGACCATAATCTATCGAGGATGTCAGCAGGAACCGAAAAGCATGAGCGTTGGCAAACCGTACTGGCGATCACAAGGATGCCTGAGCCGACGGTCATGAAAGGCCACACCACGGCAAAGATTATCCTCTTCCGATTCGGCCAGCCGCTCCTCCACATGCCCAGAAACGATGTGTCGAGGCCCCGTTCTAGCTCGATCTGGCGCGTAATCTGCTGGTATTCGATTTCGGCCAGGCTCAGGGAACCGGGCGCCGCCTCGGTCGAGTGGAGCTGCCGCAGAATCCGATGAGCCGCATCGCCCTGGTTGCGGAGTATCAACCAGCGAGGAGATTCGGGAAGGAAGGAGACCACGGCGAGGAAGAACACCGGGGGGGCACATTGGATGGCTGGAGACCACAGGTTTCTTCAAGTCAGCAATTTTCAAAAGACTCCCTGTCCCAAAGGCCAAAACCTACCGAGGATGGGTCTGAAAGCGGGCACGGAGCCCGAATAAAAGTAAAACCCGTAGCCAACCCACGCCGTGGCGAAGTATCCCGCGATGAGAACCACGGTGTGTGTATCCATGAGTTGCCCACGTTGACGGGGTGGCACCAGCTCAGCCATCCACGCGGGTGTACCGGTCAAAACCATATAGCCACTGGTACAGACGGGGATGGTTAGCATTCTGACCATCAATCTCGCGGTGCGGTCAAGGTGTCCTGATACTCACGCAATTCCACAAAGAAACCTTCCTACAATGAACATGGCGACGTGCACCGAGCCTGCTTGCAACGCACCAGAGACGGCGACAATGATGGCGGCTTGGATCTGGGAGTTCTTCCTGCCCCAGTAATCCGACGCCCAGGCGCCGTAGATAGACCCGAAAAACCCACCCACGTAGTACATGCAGACACAGGCTCCCAGGAGCTCATCGCCGTTCGAGGTGCCGGTGAGCTTGAAGTATTCCAGAAACGTGGGCTGACCGGTGATGGTGCCAATCACGGCAGCACTGTAGCCGAATGACAGCGACGACAACGAGATGCCGAGGACAACCAGAAGGTTGTACCAGCCAAACTGGCGGTGCGAGGAATGCATGATCGTCATCGCCCTGGCTCGTCGATTTCTCGGGACTCGATAGGAAAGCAGAAACACAATTTTCAAATACGCGAGCTCTTGCAGAGATATTGACTGCTTGGTGAGCTTGACCGTGGTCCTTTCCTTTTAAACCCTCCTAATCGCCTTCACACTCGAGAAACTCCGTTCCAGATTGCGGAGTGAAGCCGTGGAGATTCAATTCCGAAGCCGTGCATTGATTGGTAATTAGAAACAGAGATGATTGACTTGGGAATTGTGTCCCTCGGTCTCTGCCTCTTCTGTACGGCTCAGACGGCATTTGAACCATGCCTCTGTCTGCCATTTCTGTGTTCTGTTGAATTGATCTTGCGCCAGCACCCCTACACAGTAGGAGTATCTTCAAGGTTTAAATGTTGCTAGCGTTCTGAGGTTTAGTGAACTTGACAGAGTCGCGGATAATCGACCCACACAACCGAGCCAGTGCTGCAGTAGAGACAATTGTAAAACTTATCAATATGATGGTTTGTAGTTTCTCATTGAGCATTCGACTGCCATATCAACATTACATCCCACTCAGGGGTGCTGCAGGGCAATACCCGAGCCCACATCGCCACGGGAACACGGCTAGTGAGTGGAGCGGCTCGACGAATAGAAATTGTCATGCACTATTCTCAACCGAGGTATATACTTCATATCGCCCCGCCTTCTGCACGAAGAAGGATTAGCGTGAGAGCTACTGAGAAAACAGAAATCCACGGAAAAGCCTCAAAGTCTCTCCTTGCGCCTCTCTCGTAGCAAATCCCGCCACGATCTTGCACCCCATCCTCCTCGTGATCAACTGGCTCTCAATGCACGGCAAGGGGCAACGACAAGCTCCTCTCTCCCGGATCTTTCTCCCGGATCTTTCGGCATCTCGCCTCTCAGACTGGGGCTGTTGCAGGCGACACCGCTGCCCTTCCAGAAGCCCGGCTGATGCATCGTCGAGAATGACTCCTTCTTCCTCCTCGGCTAGCCTCTGGAGATGAGAGGAGATGACCTGCGCCTGCTGGAGATTTTGAGGCCGTGCTCGGGTTCAAGTTCGTCTTGGAGAGTGTGCATCGACGAGGCCGAGAAGCCGAAGGATGTGAGTGAGTCGTAGTGAGCCATTTTGGACAGATCGCTCTCATACCGAATTGAACCACCATTGATTCTTTCTCCGGAGCGTGGTGTTTGTTCGTGGTCACATGTGTAGTGGACCAATATATCATATATAGTCCTTGGCGGTAGTAGTCTGGTATAAATCTGGACTTAAAACCCCTTCGCCTCCTCTTATTCCACTTCCCCTTCTCTACCCCCTCCTCAATCATCATCCCCATCACTATCACCACCACCACCATCACCATCAGCAGCAGCAGCAGATCAGCCACACCTCTCAAACTAAAGATCCACCGCCTCCTTCAAGCACACCGCCCAAACACGGCGACGTGTCCACGCAGCAGACGCCACCACCGCCAAGCCCTTCATCCAGATGTCTGAGGCGCCAGGTGCTAGGAAGAGCACGGACTCGCGCCCTCGGTCGGCGGCGTGGTGATCGACCATGACCTCCTCCGATCCAGTCTTCTCGGTTCCGGTGTCCCGTTCGACGAGGCGGCCAAAACGCCCACCGGCTCCAGTTGGACGCGCGCCGACCAAAGGCTCCCAGCACACTCCTCAGAAGCCGACACTTCCTCCCCCTGTCCTTCAATGCTCGCTGTCTTCTCCGTCCCGCAACCCCCACACAGAGAGTGCTCGCTGTTCATCGTCCATTTTGCTCCCAAGCACCACCCCACAATGACCTTCGCTCCCAAAGAAGCGAAAACGCACGCCCGGAGAAGACGCACAAGGACAGCGAGACCAGGAGAAAGCCATCTCACTCGCGACAGGGCGGTGTCCACGACGCTGGCGACGGGCAGTCGATTGGGTTTGGGAACAAAAACCCTCTCTGGCGAGGACTCTGCTGATATAGCTGCATTCTCAACCCCTGCTCTTGAAATTGGAGGTACCGGTATTGCTGGGACCACTGGTCGTGAAATTACGCTTCACCCCTTCATTTCTGACATCCAGGAGAGTCCAGGAGGGGATGTGCTGAAGGCGATGGTAGTACAGATTCGCTATTTGTGAGAACCACCCAGAATGGCAAAGGAGACACCCTTGTTCGGGGATTTCAGGTGTTTCTTGTCAGTTAAAAGATCGTTCACGTCGACTCCTCCCACCACCGCATATTGCACAAAGGCCGTGTTCATGCCTGAAGCCTCGATCAGCAGCTGCTCCAGTCGGCTGGACATCAACTAACTGGAGGACCTCGACTTGATCATTCTATTACACGGAGGAGTCGAGTCGTGGGAACCACCATTCACTGCGCTCCGGTTCTTGGTGCACGGCATGGGGGGAGCAGGGTCTGGTCTGGACGGAGCCCGACGCCCGCAGATCCAAGACAAGATCGCCGGGCTCGAAATGTCATCCTGGGCCTGGACTCAGGAGTTGGCATGCTGCTGCCAGACGTCTTGGTGGAGCTATGGATCGGAAGCGAGGCGGGCAGTTTTACTTCTCGCAAAACGTCTCCAACGGACATGGAGGAGGAGCATAGAGTCGAGTGCTAGGAGAGAGCGTCAGACATCCCATCAGACAATCCATATGACACAATCCTTTGGGGATTATATATCTGTCTGCTGCTGCGGCATTTGAGGAATGAAACGCCACGGTCCGGCTGCCGGCTGCCATCCACCGTGTAAAAGGAGAACCAGCCGCGTTGCACTTCTGCCATTCTGTTCTGCCTCTTCCTTGACCTGCTTTCGCTTCGGTCCTCGTGACCTCGCGGATGTGACTCTCACCCTTCGGTCTAGTAGATGGGATAGAAAGTAGAGAGTTACTAGGGTCCGCTTGGTCTCCTGGAGAATCGTCACTTACCGACTCTACTACTTCAACCGGGCTTTTTCTTGTGTCAGAGCTCAGCATTCACCACCGCCAATCGTCATCGGGGGTTATCAAAGGTAAGGTCGACGACAATTACCTACGGGGTAGCATACAGCGCTGAAAGCTGGAAAGGGCTCATGGCCCACTAGCACTGAATGCAGTACAGTTTTGGTTTGGGCTGTCTAGTCGCGGGAAGCCGGCACTCCGGAGGACAGGTTGGAAAGATATATCGAGGAGAGAGAACTGCGTCCGCAGGGTATCCAAGCCGGGGGAAGTAGACAGGCTGAAGATGGATGGGCTCTCGCTATCGATGATGTAGTCTATGCTGTCGTTGTCCTTGACGCCGTGGATGGCTCCTCCTGACTCGTCTGTAAATGGCCAGACTCTCTCATCGAAGCAGGGTGAGCAGGGTGATAGTCTCGCCCTCTTTTGTCTCACCAATTCTGAGGAAACAAGCCTAGAAGACAATATTAAGGCTCGCCTCGTGGCATTAAGACACCTTAGGATTATGCCGGCGGTGGCCGGTTGACCTTAGTATTCATTTTTAGCGGCTTCAGCCTAAATTACCGCAGCTTGGCCGTGGACGAGCTCCCGTGAGAGTACCACGAAGTCATGGCAGTCGAACGAGAGTGCATCTTTGGCATCGCATAGCCGATACGGGACCGGGTCTCTCTGAACTGTCCTCGAAACGTGAGTGCTGATGCCTCATACGCTGCCATACCAGACGCAGAGCGGACAGCGCGCAACATCCGCGTGACCGTGCGTCTCGACCAGGTGGTGGAGCATCTCTTTATCGTCGTTTTGGCTTCCGCAACTTCCGAAGACACGCACTCCGAGCAGGCAAAGAGCTGCTCGGAAGATAGGTCGCGGTATACCACCTGTAGTGCTTGATGGCGTCGGTCTGGAATGCTGGAATGCTGGAATGCTGACTCTGTAGACAAAGTAGTCATGAGCAGCCGCGCAACCCCGAGCAACCGAATAGTCCGATGAAGGCTCGTCGATAAGATTTGGTGCGTGCAGCTTGCCGTGGACAGTCTCCATATGGTTTCTCTAATCGGAGAGGCTGCGAGTAGTACGCGGAGGGAAGCCGAGGCGATCGCATTCTGGATATTGGAAAGGCGCGCACTCAGGGACCTCGCCATCGATATCAAACGGTGTTTGCCCATCGAGTATTTCCACACCATTGCGGTGTATAGATAATAGGCGGATTGGTATGAAGACGCAGTCTCTTGTGCCTCATCCACCTATTGGTGCCGTGGAATGCAATCGCCTTTCGGCGAGATCTTTCGAGGCCTCGCAGTACCTGAAACACTGGACTGATTAGGGTCTAGTATATTCGTCATCCGCAAACGGAGCGATCTGATTGGCGGAACGAGGCCGAATCTCCGACCTGGTATGCAGCCCTGATAACACTGTTTTAAAGGCATGCGCAGCTCTCAAGGTGGAAGCGGAGGAGGGACACCAGCGATTAGAAAACCTTTGGGTGCGAATTGACATGAACATATTATATTTCCAGCCAAGGAATTGCAAAGTGGCCAGCCACCGATATTCCCAATCAAGTTGGTGGCCTTGATTTTGCCTGCTGCTACTTCAACTTCGTAGGCTTCTCTTTCCTTCTATACTCCGCATTGATTGAAACCCCGTTACAAAAGAAAGACCTGTCTGTGACATTCATCGACCGACCACAACCATACCTCCACTGATTGAAATCCCATTCAAAAGAAAGACCTGTCAGATTCGTTGTCCGACCACAACCATAACTCCATTGATCAAGACCCCGTTCCGGAAGGCTTGTAAGAAGGGTCGTTCTCCCCTGCCCGATTTCTGCTTTCCCTAAGCCAGCGGCGGCACCTTGAGAGAGCCAAGGTTTGAAGGGAGGCCTTGAGTTCCGTTCGGATTCTGTCCCAATCGAAGGATGTCTCTTGATCACCATCGATCATGGAGAGAAAATCGCGGAGTCGACATTGAAGAGATGAGTTTGTTGCAGCAGGAATGATATCCATTCGATGGCCTCTTTTTCGCCTTGGTTCTCCAGTTCCAGGGTGGCGAGTCCAAATCTCGACAAAGGCTGTGATCTCTCCTACCCACTGATGTCCTTTGAACGTCACTGGGCCGAATTCTCCTTCCACAGAGAAGTCCTTTTTGAGAATCTCATCCCCGTTCTGAGGGATATTGAGTTCTTCACAGAGATCGAAGTCGAAATCGAGTGGGCATCGATATGTTGGACTTTCAGTGATATTGACGAGGAAAACCATAGAACATGTCGGTTGACCAATAAGTAAAAGTCGAATGTCTTCCTGAAGGAAGTCATAATTTTGGGAGAAGCCAACTTGAAGAGCCCATTTTAGGTCGTCTGTCTCAGCATTTTCGTCTTCCTCAAAAATTGCAACATCTGGGACTTTCATTGAATCTCCATATTCTTCTTTGAATCCATCTAGGTCCAGATTTGTGTAACATCGAATTTTCTCTTCAAGACTTTTGGGAAGGACTTGTTCGAATAGACGATTAAGGTGTTTGTTGACAAGTCTGACTATCGTTTCGTGTAGCCGATGAGGCATAGCGTAAATTTTGAGAGTTGATGTGGCGGTGTTGTATGAAAATCTAGGCCACCTATGAACTGTAGTCAGTAAAACATTCTTTGAATCAAGAAAGGACGCCAGAAGGGAGAGAAGAATATGAACATGGACTTACTTGTACCTTTCTTCAGACCGCGAGCCGTCAAGATCGAACTCCTCACGTAGATGTGACCACTCACGCCCAGATATCCTGCAGATGAAGACCTTCTCGGGGTCGTAGTCTGGGGCGGTCAATTGCGGGTTGTAGAGTTGCTGTAGATATGTACGCGCTTGCTCGATGCCAGTTGAGGACTGTTGTGTAGCTGCTGTGCTCTGCTCGGGTTGGGAAACGAAAGGATAATCTGAGATCTGTTAACGACTGGAATGGAATTGGAAGAGTGTAAAGGTATTCTGACTGACCATGGCGCTGAGATATAGGCGAGCCCGAACTATCCAGACTGCCTTCTGAATCCATGCTTTGAGGCATTGAATGAAGCTGGAAGATCTGGCAGTGACTCAAGTCTCGTCTTCAGACAAGAGGGCAGTCTCGCCCTTGGATGAGAGAGAGACAAGGGACAAAGGGGAGCTCAGAGGTGGGTGGAAAAGGGTAAGGTAGGAGTAGAGCGAATAAAGGGACAAAGGACGAGTTCAGTGAGCTACTTATAGCTCTGGAAGGGGTCCGAGCGCGTGGCAGATTGTTTCATTCCTGACGACACTCATTCCTGGCGACATTCGTTCCTGGGTCGCAGCGTTAGTATTCCGTGCCCGATTGACACCAGCCCACACCAACCTCGGCAATTCTGAGCGCCCAAATTTTGGTACCGGTCGCCTTTGTTCGAGACAGACCTCGGCGCAGTCGCCTCTTTGTATAGCAACTCCTTGGTACTTGGCGACGTTTCAATATGACATCGACATCGGTACATTGCTGAGACAACTGTAAAGGAGAGGGGAGAGGTGTAGTAAGGAGGGTGAGGGTGAGCTAGCTCGGAGCCGAGGTTGAGCCGGGCGCGGGCCAGCCAGCCTGAGCAAAAGCGGCGCAAGGCCATGTGCCTGCGTCGAGGTTCCGGCGAGGAAGCAGTTGTTTCCTGTCGATGCGGCCACGCTGAAGAGGATCACGGATCGGTTTGGTCAAGAGCTCGACGAAGTTACGTTCCCGTCTCATTTGAGGGCCGTGACTGTGAACACGAAGCTGCTTAGAGGGAGAAAAGGGTCTCATCGACTATCGAAAAGTTGTCGGGTGGACTGGGCTGGAAAATTCAATAGGCTGTTTGTTGGTGGGCACTCCCCATAGAGTGCGCAGCGACAATATGGGCATGTTGCGGAGAGAGGAGAGTAAATCGCCTTCCAAGCTGTCGTCGTCGCGGAAATCTGGCGTGTCATCCAGGACTCCGCCCAACGCAGGCATCTACCCGCTAGCGTTGCTGCCTATGGTGCATCAGATGCTCTGTTGGAAGGGGAGAACATCTTGACCGTATGACCTATGGTCCATGGGCTGTGGCTCTTGACATGGATTGTGGGATTTGACGTTGAACCTTTTGCCGAGAGGTGGATGCACGCCGTGTACCAAACAGAGTCATCTCGAGTCTCCGAGCGTTGATTCTCCGGCCAAAGCTGCTCTGATGGCAGAATGGACGAAACGCCTTTGGAAGGTGAAGGGCTCTGCGGAAGAATCTGGCCCAAGTTTTCTAGAGACCAACATTGGTACCTCGCGGATTGACGCCCTCTCGCGCGCGCAGCAGCAGCAGCGGTCCAGCTTCAATCTCTCGAACGACGACGACAATGTGCCCGATCCCACCGCCATCTCCGCTGCAAAGCAGCGGTCGCTAGGTGCCAAGAAGAAGCAGATCGAGGCACTGGAGTCTGGAAATCACAGGGCTGTCATTGAACCAGCCTACTGAGAAGTTGAGTTGGTCAGCACGGTCTTTTCTGGGAGTGGCCTGGGCCCTTCCCAGAAATATAAGGTCGTATTTCCTGTCTCCCGGGGCAGCGCTCGTAGTAGGTTTGCCAATTCGCCCCATGAAACCCATGCCGCTGCAGGCGCCATCAAGTCCTGCGGTAAGATGTAAAAATGTGCGGTCTCCAAGACATCAAGCGTAAGTGTGCTGGCAGCATTGGGCCGGGAAACCGTCGGAAGGAATCTGAAGGCTGCAGCGGCGATCTTCCTGGCTCATCCAGACTCCAACACGGCCGAAGGGCGCTGAGAAGGTCTTCGAAAGTGGCGCCCACACTCTGGACCATATTGGTGACTGACTTGGCATCTTTAGTTCTATGTAAAGCAGGCAGAAGGCTGGACGTGGAGGAGAACAAGGCTAACATGCTCCCGGACAGTATGTCCATCAGCCTCAAATTGTCCAAACTGCGGAAAGAGTCAGTCACGTCGACAGCCACAGTCCAGCCACAGGAGGGCGCCTCAACCTCAACGCCACCACAGACGTACGCAGAGGGGAGTTGCCGGAAATAATTACCACTCTGTGCCAATCTCGACCCGCCATTCCATGATTTCCATCGACCGACACTAACGTGCACTCCTGGAATTCCGGATGGCTTCCCACGGTATTTGCTCCCCTTCCATCGTGCGAGCGCCGATTGAGTCTTAACGCGTGCTTAGGGGTGCTGCGCAGCAACTGCGTCACGATCTACGCGGGAGAATGAGATTGCCGATTCACCGTTCACGAGGCCGTTCTTTCGACGTCGAGCTCACCATCGCTTCAGAAGCTAGTGGCGCTAGGCTGAGCGGAATCATCAACCAGGTGTATTGATAGGAGGCACACAAGCTCCCAGACGGTTGAACGAGTCCTGACATGGCTTCATTGTCGATACTACCAAGATCCGGACCCAGTACCACAAGCGGTTGGAAACCCGGATGAGACAGGCAGCGGAACCCATACTGAAGCAGAAGAAGAAGAAGAAGAAGAAGAAGAAGAAGAAGAAGAAGAAGAAGAAGAAGAAGAAGAAGAAGAAGAAGAAGAAACAGAGGACAATCAACCCGTGGGACAGAGGAATGAAGGTGTCGACGAAACACCGGTCGCAGCAGGCGAGTTTGACGATGCACCCGCGCCCATTGATCTAGTAGTTGAGCCAGAGGATCGGGTGGTTCTATACACAGCGCGATTCTCCTACTTGGAGCCATGACTCGCCCATCTGTTTGCAAAGTACGCATCCCTCCTGCATGGAAAAGCCAGTGGTTTTATGGTGGAGTGGCTGCTGTCAATTTCGACAGTGCCATATCGGATGGTATCAGCAGGGCGAGGAAGAGAAGAGCCTGGAACGCAAGTACGACGAAGAAAGATCAAGCCAGAAAGATCAAGCCAGGTCTATCGGCTTCCAAGGTCCACAGGTCATCAACTCCGGGGCCCAGTCCCCGGCATGCCTTCAATCCCGGACTCGACGGGAAGATCGGCGGCTTCGAGTAGTGAGCCAGGTGCCCACGGAGCCTACGAGACTGGCATCATGGTCATCTGGGAATGATGGAAAGTCATGCCGTGGAACTGGGCATCGTCATGCAAGTCGTACGTCAGTCGAGGATTGGCATAGGCGAGGCTGGGCTGCTGCGGCTGCGGTTATTGATGGCGCTGATGTTGTTGTTGTTGTTGTTGTTGTTGTTGTTGTTGTTGTTGTTGTTGTTGTTGTTGTTGTTGTTGTTGTTGTTGTTGTTGTTGTTGTTGTTGTTG